TTATTGAATTGTTTTCTAATCCCTTGGCACATAATAATTTGACCGTTGACTTGTGACTCCAACATTATTATAGTTGTACATTTAGTGATAATTGAACTGGCACTATTCGTTCTGACTTTTAATGACAAACTTCAGTAGTGCGGCACAGGAATAGGACAACTTTTGATGATGATTATGTAGGTCTATGGTCTCCTATTTTAAAGTTGGATGAGGACAAGCCATTTTTTGTTTCCAGAGTCATTCAACTCAAGAATGAAAACTCCACAATATTTCCCTGGGAAAATCTCAACAATAATTAATACCTATCTGAGATCAAAACCAATGGTGCGAATTTTAAAATCACTCACAGCAGGAGCAAATTATTGACACTGACTAGATGATCATACTTTATATGCTGAATGTACCTGCCTCTTTATCAGACATTCAAAACATCTTATCAGAACTATGATTATCCAATCAGCTTAGAAATTTGTATTCATTGTTGCTAAGTGAGGAAAATCACACATTCCAAGCGGAGTTCCTCTTGTCACCTAGCAAGCTACCGATCCGAATATGGTCGTCTATACTCCAATCGTGGTCAGGGCCGTGAGAGGAAGAGGCGGACCTTGCCAATCCTGTTACAATAGATCCTCCAGCATCCTCTTTACCCACCTGCCAAATTTGAAACAGAGAAAGGACATTCTGCAAGCAAATTAAGTTGGCATACGTCTACTCAACATAGAACTATGTTCCTGCAGCTTCCTTCAAACCAACAGAAAGCCAATGATTGCTACAACAAAGCCCCCAACCCGGATTGGTATACGTCCATTCGAGTGCCTCATCCCACCTTACAAATTGTCGGGCAATCAACAATATAACAAATCTCTAACCTTAACCACGGGCAATGACAGTATTACCATAGGGTTCTCATGGAAGTGTGATCTCAATCTCATCACACCAAGTGACAGCATTCTTCCCACAGCCCGTGCTTGTTAGCTTCTATTATCGCCAACTGCTCACATCCCAAATCTATCCAATAATTTTCTTTTCTCACTCTGCAACTTAACCAAAGCCTAATTAACATATTTCTTCTTGTTTCAGATGCCTTCAATTTTTGGTTCTCAAGGGATTCAATGGACAATCAAACGTTTGACTTCTAAAAGGTCCTTTCTATACGGACCTCTTTGTGCCTCCATCACCCAAACAAAATAATCAAAGCAGTTCAAAGCCCTCTCCGCCACCAATAGCTACTAAACTCACTCTGGCTAGATAGATTGGCGTTCAATTCCTCACCCATAGACACTCAAATTCCACAATAAGCAACAAGCATATAGAATATTCCCGTAGTTTCCTTTTCTTATGTTTCCTCTTGTAAGCCTCAAAAAGCCGCCACCAGATTAGCTTATTCAAAATAACTTTATCTCACTCATCAACCCCCACCCCCCCCCCCCTCTCCTAGAACTCATTTAATCGGATGTATGGGATTCATCCCCAGTGGTTACCTTCTATCCAAGGTATACTATTATTGAGTGTTCAACTGCGATGAACTTCTCCTGTCGCTTTATTTGATCTTTTTCCATTGTATGAATAACAAATCGAGTTTACTCAATACTTCATTAAATTTCAAAACAATTAAATTGAGGAACAAGTTCATCACGACTCTCAATTAAAAATTGAGAATCTAATGGTTGGGGTATCTAATTAACCTCATCATACACATATGTTAAAATCTATCTTAACCGACACTTGGCAATCTTTTCAGGACAGATTACTTATATATCGTTCCCCACTACCCCCTCGCTCACTGCATCCGAGAGAACTCAACTGGACGGCAACGAACTGCCTAAATATGAGCTTCCCTAATCTTATAGCCAGATGTCTCTTCTTACATGGCATCGTCATATCTCACAAACAGACCTACAGTCACAAAACACGCAAAATCAATCCCCTCTTCTCGAATTCTCTACAACAATAACCTGACTACTCATTCCTTCGCCCATTGTGGTTGGTCTCTATCTGTTCCAATGGACCCCACCTACTCTCACCGACTTTAAACTTTTGAATCCATATCTGCTCCCCAGTGTGTTTCTAGTCTACTCAAATCTCACAAATGCATACTGCATCCTAGACACCACATAATCATGCACATCTAATCTTCTCGTCACGTTTACTTTGCATAAATGCTATTCTCCTGGGTTTCAACGGCAAGTCCTCTCGACAGTAACGCAATCAACACCTACACCTCCCACTACCTTCTCTTGTTATCACTCCCACTTGGATGTTCCTTCCACTATCCCTAACCATATTTCTCTAATACATCGTGCTACAAGCTATTGCTTGTGCCCCTCCAGTCTCTATTCCCCCCTGTGCGCACAGCTGATCATCTTCTTACACCCCCACCTACGATTCAATCATTCCCCGTACGCTCACTAATATTCTTCATACACAACCATTGAACACGGTCTATCATCATCCCATGATAACGAGATTAGAGGTTCGAATCAAACCAACACAATATAACTCTCTTCCATTCCAACTTAAATCTAGTCATCAGGTTTCAGATTCACCTACCTACTGTCTGTTGTCAAATCTCCTCAGTATTGTGACAAAGCTATGGCCAATGAATTTCTCGCTCCTCAATAGTAGGGCCATATGGGCTCTTGTTCCACCACTACAAAACACACGTATTCTTGGTTGTACCAAAGTCCACTCCAAATGGTTCAATTGCTCGCTACAAGGCTCAATCCTGGTAGCCCAAGGAAGTAATGCACCTTGAGACATATTTAGACAGTCGCCAAAGTTTCCCACAATCCGATCCTCTTATTAACTATTGTTTGTAAAAAAACATGACAGTTTCACCAGCTCTGATGTAACAAACGCTTTCCTACTATTTGTGATGAACTACATCATATGCCATATAAGTGACACATCCTAAGGGATTCATAGACTCTTTACACCCGAATCATGTATGCTTTCTTAGGAAAACAATTTACGGACTTAAACATTCCACACATTCTTAGTAGACCAAAAGTAGCTAGGATTTCATCCAAGCCGAGTAGACCCATCCCTCCTCACTTGAAACACTGAGGACGCTCAAACTTATTTACTCATATATGTTGACGATATACTTCTTATAGGTATCGATCCTACAGTACTGTCCAACATTGTGTTGCAGCTCAACAAGCAGTTCAGCATGAAGCACTTGGGTATAGTCAACACGCTCCTAGGAATATCCATTAACCATCACTCTAATGCATACTTCCGCCATAGACTCAATAAGCCAAATCCATACTGGACGCAGCAAGAATGTCGCTATGCAAGTCTCTCTCGAACCCGTCCTATACTAAGCTTCTACTTCTAATTCCAGCCAATTCAACTGTAGCAGATCTACACACTTACCGCAAACTCACAGGTTCCCTCCAGTACCTAACACTTACCAGACCTAATATAGCATATTAGGTCAATCTTCTGTGCCAGCAAATGCATAACCCACAGCCTAAACATACCTATCTGCTCAAACAAGTACTCCGCTATATCAAGGGAACAGTAGACTATGGTCTCCCCATTTCCAAAGGACCTCTTCGCCTCATCTTGTTCTCGGATGCTGATTGGGCTGGCGATCATTCCACATGCAAGTCCATCTTCGGCTATTGTATATTTCTGTGCAATACTTTACTATCCTAGAGTGTAAAAAAACAGCACAAATATACTCCTCTCGGATGCTGATTGACAGGTCCTCTAGCAGCTGCTATCACAAACATTATATGGCTTTGTCAACATCTCCAGGACTTCCACATTGATCTACTACAATCAACGGATCTTCACTATGACAACATGTCTGCCACAGCTTTAGTCAATAATCATGTCTTCCATGCTAGAACAAAACACAAAGAAGTGGATCATCACTTCATTCATCATCACATTCCCTGCCAGATAGTTCACATTATTCCTATCAGCACTCAAGACCATACAATAGACATTCTCACAAAACCACCGTCCACGGCCAGATTCAGTTGTCTTAGAAGCAATCTGACAATCCAATCTAGTATGTTACATTGAGGGGGGCTAAAAGAACCTCATGGCTCAACCTCTGATAGGAGTACATCTCCCATGTGCACAAGATGAATCCTAACCTTCAATCCACAACAAACCGAATTAATCCCATGCGTCCATGTGTAAAGGCATGCCTATCTTCACCATATATAATATAGATTGTACCTCTAACAGAGTAAAATGAATATAGAGTAGAAAAGCACATCATCTTCCTCATGAGCTTTATACTGTATCATTAAGCTACAGGCATCACTAAAGCTGTGTTACAGTATGTTCTAACTCTACTTTCTACAAATTTCAGCATGAGTTCAGCACGCTCTAAGTCGACTCGATACCTTCGTGGGTCGATCAAGCAAATAAATTATCACGCAAAAGTGCACAAGCAGCATATAAAGCCAGATTCATGAAAATAAGGGGTATTAAGCAAGCACCTGCGCCAGCAAAGAGGTGAGGTCCGGGAAAGAGTTTCCCAGTTCGGAACCACGTATTGACTGCGCCGCCCACGGATTCGAATACTCCAAACCCCAACAATATTGATCCAGCATTAAAGTGTCGATCTCTAAACCCTCCTTTCAACAACTCCTTCCTCTCCTATTCAACAAAAAAAAAATGAAATCAAATTTCTAACAGACATTTAGTCGAATACGTTCCTTACGCTAAGAAAACCCCAATTCATCCATACCTCAGAAAGCTGAGATATCTTCCTCTCAACAGAAGAAATCGCCGCCTGCGGCGGTGGTGCTGGCTCCTGGCTGCCGGACTCAACGCCACCGGCGGCAACGGCGGCTGGTACCGGTGACTTTACCTGCTTTTTAAGCTCGTTAATCTCTTCCTGGATGGTTCGGACACGGCGCCATTGCCATCCCAAGTAGCCAGTCCACACAGTGTAAAAGAAAAGGCCGCCCATCACCAGCGGGTGTATGAGCGCGAACGAGCGCCCCTCGAGTATCCCGAACTCCCCACCAACAGCAAGTGCATCCGGAGGGATGATAAATTCAGGTAGTGAGAAAGCAGACGCGGAGGCGGCCGCGGCTATGGCGATGCTGACGGCAGAAGAGGGTAGAGTGGCACTAAGGGTGTGGGTGGCGAGAGGAAGGAGGAGAGGAGTGGGCTTCAAGGGTTTTAAAGGAGGTATTTTGGAAGTCGGTGTGAGGCTGAGGAAACCAAGTGCAGTACTGGCGGCCATGGATTTGGTCGGGGGAACAGCAGAGGAGGGAGTGCAAGGAGAAAAAGATAAGAGGACGACGAGCGCTGCGCGCGTGTGGCTTGGTCGGTGTGGCATGTGCCACGTGCTTCATTTTACGATGTGGGTCCACAATAGTAGGGCGAGTCGAGTTCGAGCCGGCTCACGAGTCGGCTCGGCTCACTTACACCCCTAGTCCACAATATGGACTAGATGGTCTTGGCTGGATGAGGACCGTGCGTTGGACAAGGCAGCCTAGAAGCGTCTGTATTGTGCGTGAAGTTTCAGGTAAATTAGTTAATTTTTATATTAAATTTTTTTCTTGTTTAGATTAATTTTACTTTTTATTTGAATTCTAATGTGAAAATTTAATTTTTTTTTCTTTTGGTTTGTTATTCTATTTATTTTATTTGGAAAGAAAAGAATTTGAGGAGATTTGAAAATAATTATTCTAGCTTGGATTTAGTGAGATGTTCAATTAATAAGGCTTTGTTAGCTAAAATTTTTTGTTGGAATTTCTTTCATTGCATTTGTTGCGGACTAGAATATAAGCGGCGGTAGAGTTAGAAAGTATTCGTCTTAATGTTACACGAATATTCAGCACACAAACAGCAGATAAAATAACACCATATTTTTTACGTGGAAAACCCTGGAAAGGAAAAAAACCACGGGGCCACATCCAGTTGAAAAAGTTTCACTAGTTTTTTTTTTGAGATACAAGAGGCTAACTCGTCCGTAAAAGTTAGGACGATCAGATTACAATGAATCACTTTTGGATTGAAATCAAGATACAATGTCAGGCAGAGTTCCGGCGTCACTTGGAGATCGGGCGGAATTCAGACGTCACTTGAGCGTTAGGTTGAATTCTGAGGTCACTTGGGCGTTGGGAAGAATTCTGGTGTCACTTGGGCATCTGGAAATATTCCGGCGAAACTCTGGCGTCCGGCGGAATTCCAGCGTCCCTCAGGCATCAAGAGAATTTCGGCGGTGGTCATGGAGGAGTTTCTTCCCTCCAATCCTTCTCTTCTTCTTCTCTTCTTCTTGCTTCTAGATTGGGTCCCCCCTCATGAGAAATGAGGGTCCTATTTCTAGATATTATGGAGTGGCATGCCTTGTAAATATGTGAGAGATCATGGGTAAATAGGGCGTGGTCGGATGGACGGCCGATATTGAATCCCTTTATCGTGCACCGTTCGTCAGACATTTGAAGGTCTTAATGATGTCAGAATTTGGCAATCTTAGGCTCTTTGGATTTGTCTCGTCAAGCCGCTCGTTTTTATTATATGAACGTAATATTTGGAAACCATTTGTTAACTTAAATTATGGTTTGAACTTTCCAATAGCCCTTTTGGTGCTTGATTTGGACTCATTTGGGCTCGAATCGAGTTGAATTTGGTGTTGTTGGGTTTGTATTTCCGAGACGCTCGGTTTAACTGTAAGCTTGTTGAAATAGGAGTTTAGGTGATCCCGATTTTAATTTTTGAAGTTTTCGGCTCAATTTTGCCTCAAGATTCGTGCCCGATCAAGATAATTTTTTGAGGATATATCAGTTGCCCCCCTATTTTCAAACGTCAAAGCTCTAGGAGTCCAAAAATACACGTCACAAATTTTGGAGAATTTTTCATGTTACTCAAAATCCAATTTTTCATGTAGGAGCCTCAAATGGCTTTAAAACTATCGAAATTGAGTCTGAAACATTAAAAAATTGTCCCGGGGACCCCAAAAATGTTCGATTTAGCCTTTTGGGGCAAAAATTGGATCCGAGATTGTTTGGGCAGCCGAACCAGCAGAACCGACCAGCTGCGAAACAGTGCGCCGGGCCATTTGGCCTGCGTGGCGGTCCTCCCGTGGCCCCCTAGGCCCACCCGCGCTGCGCTTAGGGCCCGCTTCGTGCCCGATCTCGGCCCGACTGGCCTGCTC